TGTGTGTGTGTGTGTGTGTGTGTGTGTGTGTGTGTGTGTGTGTGTGTGTGTGTGTGTGTGTGTGGGGTTGTTATAAAATGAGACTTGGGGCACCATGAAACAGTTGACAAGCATGGCATTTCTTCAATAGAGGGTCTTCTTTTTCATATTCATGGCATCCCTTCTCCCTGATAGCATTCTTTCTGCCAAATAAACATCTTAAGGCCGTGGCTCTCATTAGGCTGCCAGTGCTATAATAAAGCCGGCTTTCCTCTTCTGAATCTACCAGGCAGAGACTGGCTTTTCATAGTCAGGATCATCTCTGATTTTTATTTTTTATTTTTTCTTCTCAATGTTGATCCGCTTTATAAACAGATTTCCTTGTATCACACAATGGTGTCATTGTCCGTATTTGGCTGATAATCTGACAATGTCGGGACTTCAGCTTTGGACCCTCATGTTCGCTCAGTGCTGTGTGTAAACATTAGCTGTGTGCCCGTATCCTTTATGTGCTGAACAGTTACACTAAGACCGGGGCATTTGAATAAATTACCTGTTTGTGTTTTTAAATATCATGAGCCGGGAAACAACCTTTAAAATTTGAGGGCAACCTCCACTAGATCCAGTTCCTGCTTGTTCTTAGGGCGTGTTCCCTTCATTTTCGTCTTGGGTAAGTTAAATCAATTTTCAGTCAGATTTAGGTTAAGTGACCGACTTAACCGTTGCATAAAATTACACTTTGTTGCCTTTGCAGTCTGCGTCGGGTCACCATCCATCTGCACTGTGAAGCGCTGTCCAATGAGTTCTTGAAGCTGAATGTGAGCAGATACTACTATCGCTATGGTTTACTGATAAGGTGGTACACTAGGTAGCATTGTTTTTCATCACACAAGCGATTTATCATTTTGGTCTTTTTGCCTAATTTTGTGATATATTTCCCCCCGCCCTCCCCAAGAAGAAAAAAGAATGTTGAAACAATTTCTCTTACACATGAGACAATGATTGAAATTTCATCACTGCAATGGAGCAAACAGGAGGCAAGGAAACAGATCCCCGATGACTTAGCTCATCGCCTCTAGGTAGTCAGGCAGGGAGGCTAATAGATGTCATCCTTATTCTCTCCTCCAGTCCTGCACCTCATTCTCAATCATCTATTGAACACATTGCATCATGATGACGATGATAATGCCACCTATCTGTGTCTTTTTAAGGAACCATCCATTCATACATTTTCTAGAAACGTTTACGAAATGCCACATGGGTGAAGGAGCTCTGAGAGGTAAAATGGGTTGAAATCATTCGAGAATACTACTTACTCTAAATATTATTAAAACAATGAAACGTGGAGGATTGATTGTAGTTCTGGAGGTTAAAATTTAGAATTTGGTTGAGTTGCCTGATGAAGGAAAGAGTATAAAGTAAGAAAAAAGTAGATAAGTCATTGAATCAGTGAAAACACTTGTCGCATTCTGCTGTAAAATGCAAACAGTTTCACTTAGATTGGAAAACATGGAATAAATTCCATTCTTTCTGTATTCTTCTGGGGGCGTGAAGGAATGATTGTTTTTTATTTTCCCTAGTTGATCAAAAGCCATTAAATTATGCTGGCGTGCAAGTGTGGGTACCGACGTGTTTATCTACATCGCATCGATGGGTGACCAGTCTGGGCAGGCAGTACGCGACCTTTGTGCTAAAGTGTGCTGGGATCGGTTCCAACCCCCCCCCCAGCCTGAACGTGATGAGCCGTTTAGCGAAAGATGGATGGGGACAGATCGAATGATTTATTTGAAGTGACTCAGAAGGGCTGCGACTTTGGTGTTGATCTCTATCTCTAATTTTCTAATATTGTCACGGCTCACTGTCGACATTTTAATTCACTCGCGCTATCATCACCCATCAAAGATATACTATCAAACGTGATGACAGAGAGGAGGATATATTACTGAGCCGCTATTTTACACGTTAAGCCCCGTGACTGATGTGTGGCTTTGTTCGTTCAGTGCTGGATTGCACTGGGCCAGACACACATTTCACGTATTGCACCTAGTAACAGGAGCAAGTGCTACCAGTTTCACGGCTTGGCCCCAGCAATATTATGTCACAAACACAAAGACAGCTCAGTAAGGTTGATGTGCCTTCCAACAAGATCTTGCTAAACCTGCTCGGTTTCCCTCCCCTTGTTTGCCTGGCACCGCATTTGTAGCATTCTTCAGCAAGCTCAAGTCAGACAGCAACGCAGTCACAGCTTGGTGCACACTTTGTAGTTTGTGTCAGTCTCGAAATTGGAAACGCTTGGCTCAATGAATATCAAGTGATTTCTGGAAAGAAAAAAAAATCAAGTATTGGAGTTTCTTGACAATACCATTCACAGCGGTGTTTTTTCCAAGTGCAGTTTAATTCTATAGGGCAGCTTGTGTAAAAAGCCTTGTCTGGGAGATAGTTTGTAAACTGGATGAGGCGTTAAAAAAAGTTCGTTTGAAACAAAGTTAACCCGTCATTTGTGACAATCAAGACCAAAAAAAAACAAAAAAAAACGTGTCTGTTTTCAGTCAGCTCAACAAAATACCCTCTGCGTCTGTACATAAAATTGACTTTTGTGCAGCCAGCTTCTGATCAATTCCCACTTGGTGACCGTCCGTGTAAATGACCGTCTCTTTGTGCGCTGTGATTGACTGCCCACCAATGCGGAATGTAGCCCTCCTCTTGCCGGGATAGATTGGTGCTTCCTCATGATGCTGAACATAATGAGCGTTTGAAAAACAATGAATGGATAAAGGGGCTGAAGGGCACGGTAAAATAATCGTCTATTTGTAACATGGTTGTACTTGCGATGTTGTTGTGGCTTTCTGGTGGAGACGCTACATCAGTACAAGGTTGTCAAATGGATAATAATGAACATGCAAGATGGAAAAAATTGTTGTGCTCCTCATACCCCTCCCACGTCAGTCACCATTGCATCATTCAAGAGCGGTGCCATTGATTGTTTGACATTTGCATAACGAAGCGGACACACGCCGGCGTGCACAGCTCATGCACCCGCTGAGAAAAAAAGCAGACGTCGTATTGTTCTTTGATTGTACTGTAATCATGTTTTTCTTTTTAAATCCCTGATTGCTCGAGGGGAGGAGGTACGTTTTGATTGCTGTTAAGTCAGAGGTGTTTTCAGTATTTTTCCCCAGTTGGAACTGGGGGTTTTGACAAGTGGAGGGAATTATGAACAGTTTGTGGTTGAGAGGAAAGAAAATTTCATCTGTGCTGAATGTTGTACATAGAGCATTTTTGACAATAAAGCTGACTTGACTTGAAGTAGCAAGCAGCCAGAGTTTGCACAATCAACAGGCGGCATCCCCAGGAAAAAAAAAATCCACAAGCAGGGGGAGGACATCCTCCTATCAGTGCTTAATTTTATTTTCAGAATATTCCATGTGCCAATGAAAATGTTCTGCAAGTGGCCCCCAGGTCAGACTTTGAGCGCCCAAGCATTAAGTGGCCGATTGGCAGGGTAATGCAAAAAATACATAACCAATTTCATTTT